AAATGTGGCAACCTCCTTATATTTTAACCTACCATAAATAGGGACCTTGGGTTCAACTTCAAAAACTGGGGTGTAATTCCCCCAAAGACTGGACTTTGTGATAAGAAAAGTGAAGGGGAAATGTGCCTGAAATTAAATATACTTAAGGCAACAGGAAGCAGAGGGAGGAAAGGTAAGAATGAGATAACCAGGACTTTAAGTGATTGGATAAGTGTTTTGTGAAATTTCTCTAGGAATGCAACACCTGCAGTTGAAGTACTTAATCAACAAACCTGAACCGTTTCTTAGTTTCACCTAACAAGAGCTGTAGAGCTCATGGGTTATTACATTGCATGTGTGGAATAGTGATTATTTCTGTCACTAAGTCTTTACAAAATGCATGGGATTTCCATGAAATGGAGCTGTGAACCTGATTGCAGATGTGCAGTGAATATTGTTTAATAATATAACAGCAGGTCCTTTTACATGATTTCATGGGAACAATGCGCGACCACTGGGTCTTAGTATTTCATGTTGGTGTTGGGGGGGGTGTTTTTAACAGATGGTTGCAAAGTTTTGAAAACCTGTGCCAACTGGAGGAACTGGTTTTGGACCTTCATTTTTTTTTTTTAGCAAGGGTGATATTTGGATCTAAATTGGTGAACATAAGATACTTAAATTTATGCAATTGAAGAAAATGGGTTGATTTGTTTTTTCATTCTACATATCTATCTATAATACATTTAATTCTTAAAAGACTGAACTCATAGGAAATTGCATAACAAAGCAGGACACTGGAGAAGGCTAATAAACCAAATTGTGTTTGTCCTTTTAGGGCATATTCACATCAATGGCTTGAGATGCAGCAAGGTCATCTCCTCCCCCCCCCCCCCCGCAATGTGCCCAGTTGCGTTTCAAGCCACAATGTTTCCCTGCCCCACAACCCTCCTGGAAAGCCTATTCATTCAGATGTCTTCTGCGCTTGCATGCTCATCTGCACAGCAGCTTCTGGGGTAAGTTCACATTAGAAAACTGGATACAGAGTAAGTGGCAATAAGACTGAAGGTGGCTTGAGGAAAAAATGCATCAAACAGCAGTATTTGTCAAGAATCTATAGGATCGATGAGCATCATGGCTGACATCATGTGAACGCAGCTTCAAAAATTAGCAAGGCGGCCCTGGATGTGGAATAAGTGGTAAAGTGAATATACCCCCCGTTATGCAGAAAACTGACTGAAGAACACTAAGAACACCTCGTGTGCTGGAGAGAGGGCTTCTCATGCTCCGTATGGATGGTTTTTCACATCTTGTGGATTATTTTGATGGGAACTTGTGGCACAAACATGCAGCTTGCCGACAGCACGTCCTACGTTAGGAAATTAACACTGGTGAGCTGAGGACACCTTGAAACCAAATCTGATGCTTTCTCCAGTGACATTACGTATTATCCTACCCAATGAATAAAAAGGGTGCTCCTTTCTTTAGGGATAGAATTCACTGTTATTCAGTTGTACAGGGCGATTTTGCATTCTTCTGCAATGAGGCAGGGCTAGTAGAGTCCTCCTGCTGTGCTCCCGGCCTGGGCTGCTCACCATCTGATACACCTGTCTCAGGTTACCTCTCTCTCCCCCCACCCCCACCCTGCCTTCGTTACACAGAAATCTTCCCACAACTCTTAAGGCGGTCTCTTGGCCCGGCTTCCTTTTGGTTTGCTAGAGCTGTCCCTCTGGTGTTCAGATGCCCAATAAAGCAGATCAGGGTTTGGATGTTATATTAGTAATCGTGTCCCATTTCTCCCACAGTTATCTAAACATAACAGAACTAAGTCATACTGGGGCCCCAGAGGTCTCCTCCCCTGTTGATATGAGGCTGGAAATAAGCATTCTGCTGTAACCAACAGAATGCCTGAAGGACATCGCTGCTGCTGTGAGTGCTGGAAGGAAGACAGCTCCCTGCGGCAAGGCCCATTTCCACCTGGCCTAGTGGGAGGGGCCAAGACTCACCTTGAACAGCTAAAAGAGGCTGGAGAGACATTGCTGGAACAGCTCGGGTTGGGGAAAGTGGCTAAAATGTATTAAAAGTTTCCCATTTTTGTTCCTCTGTTTTATTTTTGTTGGTTTGTTGTTGGTTAAATGTTGGGGTTGGGGGTTATTTTAATTTGGGTATAACTGTAAACTGTTTGTTGTAATTGTTGTTACTGGTTTCTATTGATTTATTTGTTGCTTGTATAGGATATTTTGTTTTTTAATGTTTAATGTTTCTGCTTTGTTTTTATATATGTTGTAAGCTGCCCAGAGTGGCTGGGGAAACCCAGCCAGATGGGCGGGATATAAATTAAAAAATTATTATAATAGGTTGAGAGGTGTCCTTCGCTGTGATGTGTGTGGTGCCCCAGTTCCTCTGGTTTGCAAAGGGGCTCAGAAAGGCCTACGATCCCTGACATGCACACACTCACCCTACAGATTCAATCGCTTGAAGGCACTGTGGCAACGAAGTCCAGGAGTTTTCAATCCAGGCAAACCCTCGGAAACAGTAGCAGGTGGTGGAAGGAAAGCATTTGCAAAAGACAGGGAGTTTGGTAGCTGGCACCCATTGAGGTTCCCTTGCCTTGCACCCCCTCAGGAAAAATGAAGGAACAGTTGTTATCTTTTGCTCCTCTCAAATGCAACAATCCCCCAGGGCAGGGGTCAGCAACCTTTTTCAGCCGTGGGCCAGTCCACTGTCCATCAGACCATGTGGTAGGCCGGAATATATTTTGGAAAAAAATATATGAATGAATTCCTATGCCCCACAAATAACCCAGAGATGCATTTTAAATAAAAGGACACATTCTATTCATGTAAAAACATGCCGATTCCTGGACCATCCATGGGGCCGGATTGAGAAGGCGATTGGGCCTCATCCAGCCCATGGGCCTTGGGTTGCCTACGCCTGCCCCAGAGTTTTGTTTCAGAAAAGCTAGAGCGCCATCTTCTGGCAACTTCACAACATGGCATTTTGCAATTATTTCATGCTCCACAAGTTTTCTCATCCCTGAAGCATTTTTAATTCAGGAACTACTTTACTACTCTTACTATACTGACCTTCCACCCACCACAAAATCCCAAAGTGGCAAGTTTCTTATTTCCATTTTGCAGCCGGGAGACAGTCGGACTTGACCACAGCCACAGAATGAGCCCATGAAGAGTGGGTTCGAACTCGGATTTCCCAGCTCCAACTCTTTAACCCCAAGGCTGTGCTTAAAAAACAGGCATAGGCAAACTCGGCCCTCCAGATGTTTTGGACTACTACTCCCATCATCACTGACCACTGGTCCTGTTAGCTAGGGATGATGGGAGTTGTAGTCCCAAAACATCTGGAGGGCCAAGTTTGCCTATGCCTGCTTAAAAAGAGTATTTTTAGTTTCATCTAAAACAGCAAACACTACATGAATTTGCCAAGATAGCCTCAGAAAGGAGTTTGGAGCAACCAGCTAGCACAGTCGGTGCTAAGCTACTATTTGCTTGTATGTAGGCACTCACCTTCTACTTCATGGGTAGGCAACCTAAGGCCTGGGGGCCGGATCCGGCCCAATCGCCTTCTCAATCCAGCCCACAGACGGTCCAGGAATCAGCGTGTTATTACATGAGTAGAATGTGTCCTTTTATTTAAAATGCATCTCAGGGTTATTTGTGGGGCCTGCCTGGTGTTTTTACATGAGTAGAATGCGTGCTTTTATTTAAAATGCATCTCTGGGTAATTTGTGGGGCATAGGAATTTGTTCATTTCCCCCCCCCCCATAAAAAAACTGTCCGGCCACCCACAAGGTCTGAGGGACAGTGGACCGGCCCCCTGCTGAAAAGGTTTGCTGACCCCTGTTCTACTTGATACAGCACTGGGCTTTGGATGGAGTTCATTCCCCCCCCCCCAAGTTGTGAGTCATTGCTATGTCTTAAAAAGCAACGACGACAAAGTGCACTAATTCATGTACTCAGTGAAAGGAGACAGGAGCACTTATGTGGATAGTAGCCTTGCATTTTCATAAACTACCTGTCTCCACCAGTGAAACAGGCCCCAAATTGTTCAAACTACTGCCAATATATATTTATGCAAGCCTGGGTTAACTACAGATAGCACTGTGTGTTACATAACGAACCATGTAACAAATTAAGAGCGGGTATTGGGGTAAGGGAGTCCAGCTATCTGGAAACCTCCCGTTTTGAACCAAGCCCACATTCCAGTCAACTTGGGGGTGGTCATGATTGTTAGCTACTGTTTTATGAGCTGCGTTCCAGCCTTATCTGGTGGTTCTCTAGGGTCAAAATCCACGCGCTCACATTTTCTTAGATAGGCAATCCTAGCTAAGTTAGATACCTGACCCATAATTTCCTGCTGTTCCAAGCTTTCAAAAGCCCCCTCAGGAAGGCTTGGTGCAAACAGGATTCCTGGGTTTCATTTCACCCATTTTACTCTGTGACTCACAAGAAAGGAAGGTGTTTTCAGTTCTGTACTGGTCTACCTCTTTAACTTACAGGGGTACACTCCTGACTCACCACCCCCACAAGAATTGTCTTCAGTCAAATCATATGAGAATATCCCAGACCTCTCTCTCCTGCCTTCTGGAGAGAAAATAGACCTTTAGCAATGACATTCTGGGAGCGGGTTAATGTCTGTCTTTGTAACAATGCAAGCAGGATTTCTTGGCTCTCTGAATTAAAGCACCAGCCATGTGTATTTGATGCATTTTCTGTAACTTGTAAACATTTATATTTTTGAATGTTTAACATATTAATTCATTTTTTAAAAAATAATCATTTCTTAAAAAGGAGTAGTTGCCCTGTAGTCTACAAAGACATGGTGTTGATTGCTCAGTTTGCAAAAGTGTACAACTGTCACGGTGGCATTTTTAGGCTTGGGTCCTTTAGATGATTAATGTCCTGCATAAAACATCCTTGTGTGGAAGCAATCTGAGCAACAGCCCTGTGTGTGGTCTATGTCATCCAAAGGAAGAAGTCCATTCAGTCAGAAACAACACAGAAGACTTACTTAAATAATCTTTAATGATGGATCATGCTCATGTTTGATAGGATTTCTAACATCACATTTCAGCACAGACAAGCAGATAGTTTATCCAAACTACGTCAAAATTATCAAGAGTGTGTGATAGGAGGGTGCAGTGATTGCCAGGGGGATACGGGTTTCATCTCCATCTGACAACAAAGCAAAAACTAACATGGTGTGTGCCGCACCAGATACCAAAGCGAAGCAAGGCAGGTTGCGGCAAGGAAGGAAGGAAGGAGGGAGGGATCTGTGGGGAGGGGAGAACCCTCTTGACATAGACCAAGGTACATTCAACTCCCTGAGTCGAGATTCCGTTATCTTCACAAAGATACAGACCAAAATGCTGTGGCTCCGATCCGCAAGGCTAGCTGAAACCAAGGCAAAACACCTCCACTGCCCTCTCCGAGTACCCAAACAAAAGCACAGAAGTAGGGGAGGAAAGAAAAAAAGGTTTCCCCCTTTCAGGCCATGGAGGTGAGATGCCAGTCATACAAAGAAAACATTTTGACCCTCTAAGAATTCTCCCTGTCCCTCTTGTACACACACAAACACACGGACACAAAGGAGAGCAAGTGCCTGTTTCAGAGGTAGAAGCTCAAGGGGAAATCTACCCAGTCTTGGCACACTCCATGTACTACTTTAAGCAAGGCACTGGCTGCAGTATGGATCTTCAGATTTTGGTCCACAGCAGCCTAGAGGGAGGGCTCCGCAAGCTCCCTGCCCAACCTTAGAAAAAATAAAAACCCCATTTCTATTGCTGCTGCCCATCTAATGTTTAGCAAACGCATTTTTCCATTGAATCAAAGCTGCTTGCAACTACAAGGTCAAAAGTGCCTTGGCAACAGCAAGGGAGAGGTGGCGCCGTGCAATCGACTCACCACCGAGAAGCCTTTTTTCATGAGCAATGCAGACTTTGCCCGAGAGTCTGAAAGGACTGAGCACTGTCTGAGACTGGTCTTCTACTCCAAGCGGCTGTGCTCACGAGGAATTCCTTACTGCGACTAGTTGCACACAGACTGCTAAGGAGGCCACAGAGGCCCAATATGTCAAGGATGGTGAGCTGCCCACAAGCAAGATTCAGAAGCTATGTGATGGTGAACAGCTTGGCCAGAGATCTGTGGGGGGGACCCTTCTAACCGTTATGAACCTTTCACAGGACAGGACTCAATGGAGAGCTGGGAAAGGCACGGATCCATGTTCTTCTGCGCGTTTCCATTTTGAGTCACATGGCTTCAGCAGGAGGCAGAGCTTACTGCCTGTTGCCTCCTCAGGATTCATTACCCATTCGCAATAACCAGGAGGCATCAAAGTCAGTTCCCAGAACAGCAGCAACTTTGCTGGTGAGAAAGCTAAACTATTTCTATGGCATGTTTCCTTGCCAAATGTAGAAAGAAGATCTTGACATACATGTGCATTATGCAAGGGCAGGCACAAAAGGCTGTTCTCCTCAACCCAATGCAGAGGACAAAGGAGGTTGCCCACGTGGTCTATGCCCAAGCGTGGCAGGGCGTACTGAGAGCTAACAGCTCTCCCCAAGCTCAAGCAATTGGCAAGAAACCGCTCTTTGACCCAACAGGGTGGGGTTTAAAAACAACGCTATTCTAGAGCAGGGAGGAGGAGTCAGATTTTGTTTGGAACAGTGGTACTGAAGTGGGCACCATTTTGCTGATCTACTCCCCAAACAGCAGAAATGTTCCAAGAGAATAATACAAATATGATGCAGATACTGTTTTTTGCCCTGCTCCTGGGCTAAGGGCGGCTTGTGGGGTGAGGGGAGGACACCAGTTTAGATCAGATAAATGGATTAACACATGCAGTCTCAGTGACACTGATCCAACCAATGTTTAAGGTGTATTTTTTTGGTGTTTTTTTGTTTCAAAAGGACACAAATAAAGGAATACTCAAGACGGCTGATCACAGAACGCCCATGTCACATCCATTTCAACCTTAAGGCAAAAGCCCCTGCTAGGATGGGTGTTACAGCTCCTCTTGTTACACTTAGATAAAGACATCTTTGTTACATGATTGTAGAGAAGGACAGACAAATGCTAAATATGCCAGTTACCCGGCAGGCTACTTTCTCTTTATCCTGCTGGGCTAGACTCGAAGGCCCACTATTCCCCAGCCACTCACAGTATTTTGCCTCCTAAGGCAGGGGGGTTGAGAACTGGTGCTTTCCCCAAGCAAAAGACACCAGAGTTTAAGGGCTTGAGACAGAAAAGACTCTCACCACATGGCCACGCTGTGCACTGGAGGCTGCAGCACGGGAGAGCTGCGCCAACATGCTGCTCTGATAATAAAAGGCAGGGCTGCCTAACCAAAGAGAAATAGAGATGATGTTTTATTGGCCAATGAGAAACTCCAGCTGCCAGCAGCCAAACAGAGGACAAACAAAAATCCAACGCAGCAGAAGGCACCACCACTCTGCTCTATCCCTTGGCAGAGCCACACAAACACTCACAGCATCTCATTCCAAATACAACTGGGACACATGCTTCCATGCTGGTGCTTCATTTGGCCTCCATGCAACTGTCGCCAGGCGCCTCTAAGGTCCACTCAGCAGGTCTCTGCCACAGCCTTACTCTTTGCTGTCCAGTCTCTGCTCAAAATCAGCACTGCCAACACCTGCAGGATGCTCTTCCCCCTTTCTAGCACTCATTCTAGAGACCCCAAAAGGAATTTCTCTGACACCCCCGCCTCCATTGCCCCAGCAGGTTACCAAGTGCAAAAAAAATCCCAACCCATTAATGCCTTTCCAGGAGATAACAGAAGATAACAAGATGCTTAAAAACCAAAACACAACAGGAAATTAAAACGGTCCATGGGGCCGGGGTGAGGTGGGTGGGTTGCTCAGGGTCTCTTCATGCTTGTAGGACAGCCCCACCTTGGCAGGCCAAGAAGGGGATGGAGGGGAGATTGTGAGCCGGCCATTCTTCAGCGAGCATCCAGGCTGGAGCTCATGGTCAGAAGGTCTTCCTCCTGGATGGTCTCCAGTTCCTCCGTCTGCACAGCCTGCGTGATGAGGGTCAGTTCCTGGGAAAGTGTCTCATAGCGGTAGGCCACCCGGATGTCTGGCACATTGGTGCGCCGGATGTCGTTGCCCTCAGGACCCTCCTTGTGGTAGTTGTGCCCAAGCCACTGGCTCTTCACCTGGGCAAAGAAGAAAGAGACCAATCCATTGTTAGGACAAGCAACAATTTATGCTTTTCCACTGTGCCATTCAACTGCATGGTAACATCCTGTGCCCATGAGCACTTTAATCAAGGCTAGCACCAAGCATAAAATCCCAGGATACCTTTGTCTGTCTTTAAGCAATCTGTAAAAAAGAAACCTTAGAAAACAAAGCCCTGTGGAAGCTGTAAAGAGCTGGCAACAAAACTGAGCATACGTCTGGGCTGCTAGGATAATGGGCTACATCTCCATAGTTTCTCATCAAGGCTACAATGCATCTTTTACAAAAGAAAAAAAAGGCAGCTACATTTATGGTTCTCTATACCCTAAGAGAGAACTTATCCTCTGAGTGCCATTCCTTATGAGGCCAAAATGGCACCTTCCACATACCAAAGACAGGTTATCAGCAGACCTGGGAGTGAAATGTCAATGTTTTGCGGAAGTACAAACCCGAATGGGTAATGCAAGAATAAAAACAGCTGATTAAGGACTGAACATGCTCAATGAGCACAGAATAGCGACTGACTACTGGGTGGATGGGCAGAACTTGAAAATCGGGGGAAAACGGAATGGAGCACCCTTGAAAATGGCAGGAATCCTGAACAGGAACACTCCAAGGTGCAACAATTCCTTATATTGCAAAAGTAGGACGTCTTTGTGCAGACATCTCAAAACCTAACAAGGGCAGAGGAGGAGACAGATTAGAACCACTCTTTGATTCCCGCCTCCTCAAATCCCACAGGGGCAGAAAATGTGAGCTGCTCTCAGCTGGCCTGGACTGGAAGAAGAATCCTTTTGGTAAGGAGGGGGACTTCTTTCACATAAAAGGACTGCAGTGGTATTGAGTTGGGAGAAATTGAGCTCAAGAGGCCACAGGCCACAGGGACAGTATTATCCAAAATCAATTCCCTCTCCCATCCACCAGGGTCTTATTGGCAACCAGGAGGACAGATCCTTCATTACTTAAACTTAAAGGGTCACAAAGTCCGGAGAGGAGCAAGGAGGTTACAGAATATCCACCTCATGACACAACTCCTTCTGAACTTAATTTCTCCCCTTTCAGAAGTGGTCATGCTGCAGAAAAGGCCACAGAGTGGAAGGAATTGGGCTGAGAAGAGACCCTCTGGGCCTGATCCCAGCCACTGCCTTTCACAGAGCCCAGTTGTCACATGACAAATACAAAGATCTTCAGCTGGAGCCTGTTCATCTTTGTGTAAAGGCACAGCTGGGCAGGAGGCAGTTCTAAACTGATCTTAAATTTCCAAAGCTGGAGACATCAGGCCATGAATCGATACGGAAGGGAGTTGCTGGGGTATTCTTGTGTACTGTATTCTCTGAGAGGTTAGGGAACAAATGTAACCTCTTTTCAAGAGGGAAAAAGATGTAGCCTTACCTTGTGGGAGAAGCCACTCATGAGCACACTGTTGCGTGCAAGTTCGCACATATCACAGGAGCTGAGCTTCCAAACCTGTGTGGCGATGCTGTACTCTTCCATCAGGGGTTCCTGTAAGAGATGGTTTTGTCAGTCAGGCTGCATCATGGACTATATTGCAGATGAGAACATAAAGTTGCCCCAACAAGGTAGGACTTTGAGGCAGGTGTCTAGGGTCCCACTCAGAAGAACAAGCAGGAGGGTCCCCCAATGAAGCAGGGCTGTCTGACATTTTGAAAGCAGCGAAGTCATACACATTGTCTTCAAAAAAGGGCACCTCCACATAAACTCCAGAGTCTAAAGTAACCTACTTGCACCCTCTGTTTGTATATAAAGAGCATTAAGACATGCCACTGAGCTAGGTTTGGAGATTCTGGTGCACACTGGATCGGATGGGTAGGAGTGTGAGATTTATGAGATCATGGGGCATATTCTGGCTACCCTCCCACAATTTCACTGTACTAGACAATTAGGAGAACAGCATGTACTAGGAAAATTAGGACAACGGCATGCGGAGAACATAGCTGAAAAGATGGAGACAGCTGAAGCAACATCTCGTGTAAATACAGTTCAGTTGTAACCCTGGCCTGGCCTTCCGCTACTATCCCTCCAGGCTGAAGCAAGCTCAACACTACAGGCTGACTACTACGTTCTTGCTCTGACAGCTGTAGTGGACAGGCATCTGTCCAGACAACTGAACAGTCACTAGGTGGCAGCATTCATGCTGACTTGTTGAGAGGAACTTACTCTGTTCTTGCACAAGCAGAAAAGGAATTAAGAGGAAAATCTGCCTACAAAGTGGAACCCAAGAAATGTACATATATGACCAAAATGGAGACAGAATATGATTCCCACCCCCCTCCAGCCAAGAACAGTTGCTAAAGTTACTTCTGAAGTCTTCCACAAGGTCCCAGCCCTCAGCTCCAAGTTCTATAAGCGTCTGCCATGCAGAAAAGACATTTAACTGACTGCTATCGATACATCTGGCTAGGTAGGAAGGTGAAATGTAGGGCTTCTCCAAGGTAGCTTGCTCTGAAATGCTACCCATTCCATATGTAGGCGAGCTGGCAGATGAAGTGGAGGAGATTCAGTGCATGGATGAGGTATTTGGAGAAGGGCTTTGGCACTTCTTAGGCACTAGGGGATGTCTTGGGGCATGCCAAACCTCTGCAAAAAGCCTAGGCTCTACGTGAACTGAGATGTAATTTATCAGAAACATTCAAGCAGATTTTAAACTGACACTCCTAGGGAAAAGCCAACAGGAGCTGGGAAGCATCTGCTTCAGGGTGAGGGTGAAAATGTTTCTGAGCATCCAAGTTAGTAGAATTAGGCAACAAGCACAGGACAGGATGGGAGAAGCAGCCAAAGGACCTCAGGGGGAAACGGAAGAAATGTGATAATGCTGTGAGAGCTTCCAAGCCAAGTTAGGGGTTGTGGTGGGGGAAGGAACTGGAATGCTTGCCGCTAAAAGGAGAAGATTGCTATAGTGGGCATAACAGAAGCTTAGTGGAATGGAAAGGACCCGACCAATGGATTAAAGAAAGGAGATTCCAATTAGGAAGGACATTCTGACACTAATTGCTGTTTGACAGTAGAGCACACTGCCCTGGAAGGTGGTACTCTCTCCTTTAACAATGGCTTTAAAGCAGAAATTGGATGGCCATCTGTCAGGGATGCTTTCGTTGTGATTTCTGCATTGAAGGGGGTTGGACTGGGGGTACCTTCCAACTCTATAATTCTTTGAAAAGAACCAGTGGAATACAGATTATCTCTGCATACAAACTTTACAAGAAGGAAAGGCTTGTCCAAAAAGCATTTTGCTTGCAGTGGGTAGTGGGTTTTTTGTTTTTTTGCAAGGTCAGAAGTTACACGAGACAGGTAAATGGATGCCATCTGCCACAGGGTCATGGCCTCACTTGGCCTCCGTGACATCACACTCACCTTAGTGAAGTGGAACTGCAGTGGGTCATCTGTGGACAGGGAGACCATGAGGCCCCGAGAGAGGTACTCTGGCAGAGGGTTTCGATGGTAGCTTAAGAAGAGGCTGTTATTGCTGAGTGGGGACATGGCAATGCCAATCTGGGCCAGGTAGTAGAGGTACTGCAGCACAGGTGCCTATGGAAGAAATGCAGGGTTAGGAGGTGGGCAGCACATCTGGGGAGTGTTGAGCTTCGTCAAATCCTTGGCTCAGAAGGGAACAGCAGCAATACCCAGGATGTGCTTCCTTCAACAAGTTCAGAAGGCTCATGAGACGCCAGGGACTGAACCTGGAAGCTTCTGCATGTGCTCTGCCACTGAGTTTGCACATGGGCGCACACGCTCGTTTTCCAAGTGTGCCCCCCTCCCCTTCTTACTCTCACCTTGCGGAGCAGGAGGCCATGTGATATGTTCTCAGACAGCATGAAACCAGATACCAGATGGTGGATGGGCCCTGCCTCTCCACAGTGGGGGCGCAGCACGAAGGTGTGAAAGCCTCTCTTCCTAGAGAACCAGCAGCAAAACACACAGTTCAGTGTCACTTTATAGTGCCTTCATTTTATCTGCCTATTTATTACATTTATATCCTCCCCAGGGAGGCCAGGGTGACAAACAACAAGTGATAAAACAATAAAAACAACTTAAAAACTATTCCAACACAGATGCAGGTTAGGACCAACCTCAACTTAAAAGGCTTTTTGAAGGAGGATGGCCTTCAATAGATGCCTAAAAAGACAACGGAAATGGAACCTGTCCAGTGTACATGGGGAGGGACAAAACTCCCAATTCCTATATTGTGCGGACTTCCTGATAAAATCGCATCATGCAGCAGGCCCTCAGCTGCAGAACAAATTGATTGACTGGGTATATAAGGAGTGAAGTGATCTTTCAGGTATCCTGCTCCAAAGCTCTAAAGGGCTTTATGCACCAAGACCGGCATCTTGAACTTGGTAGCTAACTAGCAGCAGTGTCTTTCTTTTCTTTTTCCCCAAATTTTTTTTATTGATTTTCCAAGATTTTTAAACAAACAAACACCTTAACTGTACTTAATCCAATCTTAGTAACATTGTTAAGTGACTTCCTCAAATCCCCCCTAGCTGAATTTCAGTGTATTTCATTGTAACAGTTTTCCAAAACCAATTTTCTCATAAAAATAACTTAATCACTTAACATCTTTCTTTCTTTTCATTTTAACTTTAAACATGTTATTCTCTAACATCACATATTTCAATCCTAGGCCTATCTGGTATTTGCAAGTTTTTCCAATTAAGTTATCTTAGCATATTTAACTAAATAGTCTTTGAATTTCATCCATTACTGGCAGCAGTGTCTTTCTGTGGGAGGAGTAGGCGATGAGCCGTTAGAATGAGAAGTGGAATGGGAACCGGGATCCAAGCAACAACATCAAAGGTGTGAAGCTAACGCAAAACCCAGCAGCCACCTCCAAGGACTCTGTGCACCTGCTTATCTAATAGGGCACAGTGCTGCATGATCTGTCAGCAGGCACCCAGTTTTTGCTCAGAAGGTTGAGCAAAGAGCCTTAAAGGGACAGGACTAGGGAACCTCAGGCCTCTAGACCTCTCTGTCCGGCTCTGGGGGCTCTGCTCAGGTCACACTGCTAACTGGCCCTCTTTGACGTAGGCAGGAATGGATGCTTCTCTGGATGGAGAACAGAGACGGGCATGCAGGGGCAGAAACCAGCCTACTGTACAAAGGCAAAACCCGCCTTTGCCTCTGGCCTCACCCACCACAGACATGTGGATGCCAAAAGAGAATGTGGCCCTTGGGCTGTAAAGGTTCCCCACTTTTGCCTTTGGAGCTAGCAGGGACAGGAGTACCATTCTGGAGTCTCATCCATGTATACTGGGGGGTGGGGGGTAAGAAGAGAGCCTCCTACCTGCGCAGGTGATTCAGAACCACCATGTTAGCATATGTGTAGTAAAGGTAGTAGGAATAGGGTGGGTTGTCCTCCTCCACCCAGTTCCCAGGCAAGGGGCTGTCTAAGTTGAAGATGTGGTGCTCTGGCTTTGATTCGTCATCCACGCTGTCAAATCCATCCACCTGCCCATCAAGAAGCCGAGGGAAAGGAAGGAGAGAGAGAGAGAGACAGAGAGTGAGGATGAGATGGTCCCACTTATCTAAAGATTTTCCACTCCATGCAGAAAACTGAGGATTTTTCTGAATCCTCTCGCTCCATGCAGAAAACCTGCTATACAGGTTTTGGTGGCAGAACTTACGTGCTCCAAGAAGAGGTGCAGCTCTGGGTGGCTGGCAGGGTGGATCGTAGCTTCGAAGAGGGGCAAGAAGATGTTCTCCAGCATCTCCTGGAAGTTGGCCAGCTGCTTCTTTGTCTTGTACACATCGCTATTGGAAGCAGAGATACATGGAGAGCACAATTGTCATTCACAGAAGCTTAAGACACAGGCCTTTGCAGAAATCTCCATATTCTGCAGTTCACCAGAGGGTTATCACTTGCAGGGGCTGCGTGAGCCACTCCACATGCCATTTGGCCAGAGTAAGACCTAAGGCAGTATTGTGACCCTGGTTCAAATCTCACCTCTGCCATAAATCTGTTAGGTGGCCTTAGGTGAGCCACACCCTCTTAGCCCCAAACCACACCACACCTCCCCCATTTGCAATATGGGGATCACAGTTCTGAGCTCCACTGATTAGAATGGCATATTTAAGAAAAGAAATGACATTTAAAAAAACGGCTATAAATTTATGACTATGGAACTAATCTAGATGGTTTTGATATACAATAAACCACTTAGAAAAATCCAAAGCAATTGCTGGAAGCTACGTAGAAGAGAAATTTAAAACTACCGGAGTTAGCAGCAGATTTAAAACAACAGAGCCATTTGAATATTCAGATAGTAACATTTGACCTGAAGAATTTGACTGTTTGGGACATAGAGAGGCATGTTGTGGGCTGGACACACAAGATGATCTCTTACCACATCTGTCCTGTAATCAAGTGCGGAGCAAGCTAGGACTGAAACTGTATAATTAACAGCTACATTCTCAGAGTTTGCCAACAGCTTCAGGGACTGTTAGTTAGGCAATGGTCTTAAGAATGTGATCCGAAACACAAGCTTGCAAAAACTTGATCCAAAATATATCCTTGCAAAAAAAGTGGGGGGGGGCATGATCATAAGCATTAGTGTATCTCTCCCCAATTCATTGCTATGTATCTTCTCCTTTCTTTGGTGGGGCAGGCTGCTTGTTAAATATTGTAACAGATTTCTTCTCTTTTCTTCCTTGTGGACAACAACTCTTTTTTAGGACAATAACATTATGTATTAGGATAATAACATTATGTATTTATGTAAATATTAATGTATGGAATTGAAACTGATTACAGTTAGTGATCTATATTATATCTTTTTATTAAACTTTCAATTGAAATTCTCGTAATATATATTTTTAAATAAAAATGAAAAACAAAACAACTATTTTTTAGGAACAAGTGTTTGCTGACCGCCCCCCGGTATTTCAAGAATACCTCATTACAAAATGCTGAACTTTCTCCTGCCCTAATATCAACTTATAATACAGACTCTACTAAACAGGGTTGTAGGGATAACCAAGATAATGTATGCTGGGCACCCTACAGCAATACACAAATTCTAAGTATCATCATCGCCTTCCAAAGCAGCATTTGCATGGCTTCCCATTATCTTTAATCCATAAGAACACAGGAAACTTCTTTATAATACATCAGACTAGTTGCCCATCTAGCTCATTATTATATCCTCTGATCAGCAGTAGCAGCTCTCCAGAGCAGAAAGCAGCCTGCTACCTAATCACTTTATTTAGAGGTGCTGGGGGTTGAAGCTGCCTTATTCCAAGCCAGACTCTTGGTCCATCTAGCTCAGTACTGTCTACACTGACTGGCAGCATCTCTCCAGGGTTTCACACAGGGATTTCTCTCAGCATTACCTGGAGATACTGTAGATATAACCCTGGCCCTTTTGCATGGCAAAGCAGTTGCTCTACCACTGAGCCCCAAGAATGTTGGGCTTGCTTCCCTTTCATAGCTTTCTTTTTAGAAAACCCCAGCTTATTCTAGTCTCTCTGCACAATTTAAGAAACTCAGCATGTTGCACTCCTCAGGTGCCCACCAGGCCCCTGTTCTTTGCATTGTCACCTGAAAGATTGCTGGTGCACTCACTCTGTTGCTCTGTTCAGACAGGGAGGCTTTTCATCCACTTCCCCCAGCCAGCGAAACAGGTGTTCAGCTTAGAATGTGCAACCCTATCTGAAGGGCTTGCAAGCTGTGTTGATAGTGTAGCTGAGCAGCTAAGCTTTGAGTGCGCTCTCCTGCTAAGCTAGGATTACAAGCAAGCACAGCTAAAGCCCCAAGCACAGATCCATCAAAACAAAGTCCTCCGAGTTCCTCGTCAATTTAGTTTTATCCATCAGTCAAACATGCAAAAAAGAAAATTATGGGCACCAGCTAAGGAATAAATGGACGTAGTTATATGATGCGTAGCCCACTTTTCCTCCATTAAAGCAGCTTGGCAGCTTTGTTTACTTTGTCTTAAACCATAAATGAAGAGGGTGGGAGGGAGTAGAAAATACTAACACCATATCAGAGAAGCAACAGGAAAGCAATGGTAAGAGCAGCTGCAATATAAGGTATGTTTGCAGGCCAATCACATCCATGGCTACACAGAGTTAAGGAAGGACGTGGAGGGGGCTGCAAGAAGAGAGCAAGCTGGGAACCAAGGGAAAGGCGGCAGAGAGGGAAGGAGCCGAAGGGAGAGACCTAACTAAGCAGGGAAGGAAGCAGACAGAGGAGGAGAGAACAGGAAGCAAAGTGGACTTTGATAAGCTGGAAGAACAAAGGCAGAAACTGCCACCTGCATGAGAGCAGTTAACTGACATTATTGATTTATTCATTCAAGAAATTTGCTGTTGACAGGCAACCAGTGGCAGCTTGTTCATTTACTGGCGTTGTTAAGTAATCTGCTAATTTTATGAGCTGGTGTTTTGTTTTTTAATCAGTCCTACTGAATTCCATGCAAGTAAGTGCATGTAAGATTGCTGCTTTGGAGACCTTGCCTAAAGAATACCTGCTCAGGCAGCACAGTTTTCACCATTCTTTTATAAACACAAAATAAAAGGGGCAAGATGTGTGGGCTTTATAAGGAGGCTTCTCTACAATCTGGGTGCCAAAACAGCAGAGGAAAAGAACCTCATGCAGGTGCCTATGAGAGATCAGGGATTTTCTGCTGTTGTTTTGGTACCCAGATTGCTTTGCAGGAGAGGGAAAGGTGCAGAAACAAGAGCCGCAGGAGCAAGATTCTCCTTACGGAACAAGCTTTCCCAACTTTTCCATTTCAGATTCCACCTTAACTACTGGAGTAGCTATTGCCTAGTTCGCAATACAACATCTGCAGGGGTGTCCAAACCCCCCAATCCCACCAGCACAACAGATTCTACCTCTCTAGCCCTCGCAAAGCCCTTTCTAATAATCTCAGCAGCTTGCTACACTTTGCTAAAATAGAAAATGGAGTTATGTTTCTCCTCCATATGACTAGGAGAAAATACTGTGATCAATTCAAGCCACACAAGGTAGCACAGCGGAGTACCCGTCGCTTGGAGGCTGTTTCCCCGGCCAAAGGTTGGCTCCCCTTCCTGGAATAACACAGGGGGAGTGGCACTCACAAGAGGCGAGGCACCTGCACCAGCCAGCGCACATTGTTGGAGTGCACTTTGTGAGCCACAGCCCACTTGGCCAGCTTGTCCCACTCGTCACGGGCTCGGCCATAGATGGAGAGCCGCAGCTCCGCATTCTGATACTTGCTCTCTTCCAGATCAGACATCACCTCCTGCCAGGAGAGAGAGAGAAAGGGCTTGTCAGCAAAGGAGCCTCATCAAAGACATCAAAGACTACCCTCTTTTGGTACAGAAACACTCTCATATTTTTGCAGGATGAAACGCATTACAAAGGCAATCCAGCGCTTGGACACCTTATACCTTCTTTGTATGAAGGGTAGAATAATTTATCTGCCTGCAATTGATTGCTTGGGCTTCACATGTGCTCTTTGAGACAGCCCCTACTGTCTCAAAATTGACTGCTCTCTTTGCCCTATTTTTTATCCCCAGATAGGTGCGTTGTTATTCCTAGAAAGCAGACAGAGAGTGAAGAGGATCTTGAAACTTAGAATCTTGTTTGCCTTTCATTATTCTCCTGGGAAACCTGCAAGCCCAAAGTGTGATGAATAGAAGAAATCATACTGTGCCTTCCCCTTCCTTCCTCAAGTATGGAAGCTGGCACCAGACAGATTTTGACAGCCTAAGAACTTATGCTCTCCTTAAAAAGCTATGTTTCAAGGCCTCAAGTCTGAGGGCAAAGTTTGCAAAAAAGCAATACTTAATCTGGGAAAACTCAGAAACCAGGAGGGCTGAAGTGGGCTGCTAGTAGACAAGAAATCTCAACTGCCCATCATGGTTCCCTTTCTCTGCCCCATTCCCCTGGTTCACTAGATGCCCTAACTCAATTTGAATGCTCCTCCCAAGTTTTAAAACCACACACAACGCAAGAATAGGGTACAGAGTTTGGATAGCTTATTCAGCCCTCTGGCAATAAGTAGAAGCTCCTGGGTACACAACTAAGGAAAGATCAAGCAGTCTGCTTACCTTGATGATATGGGCAAAGTATTTTCCAGAGACTCTGTTGTCTGTCTTGATGAAAATCTCCCGCAGCACAGACTCGCCTATGGGGTTATATTTGGCATTGAACTTGTCAAAGCGATGGAAGGTGTTACGATCCTATTAGAAAAGGCAGCAAAAAAGATTGTTGTATTTAAGTAACCATGAAGTCAAAAGACTGCGATTCTCTTCTTCCCCATTTGGCAAACTGCAAATGACTATATAAGGCCTGTAATAACGTTGTGAAGGCTCTTATTTGACATACCGCATGGACATCAAGCGTGTCTACGCTGAGATCATAAGCTGTGAGATTCATGGTCTCAAAAACCTCCTTTAGAGTTTGCTCCTTGCCCTTCTCCACATGCACAATCTCCTCCAGGTGCTTCTTCATAGCCCGCTTGATGAAGCGCAACAGATGCTTCTGGTTCATGCAGGATGATGCATGGATATGCGTGTCCACCTGCTCAAGAGATCAGTGGTTAAGAAGGAAGAAGGACAAGAAGTCCAGAGCTCAAATCTGACCTTGGCCATTGACCCACCAGCTGGCTTTAGGTAAATCCACTATCTCTAAGCTCCAATCCCTAACCTTAAACACAGGCAGAGAACCTGCTGCCGGACTACAACTCCCATCAGCCCTCATCCCTGGCAACACTGGCTGGGATTGATGGGAACATGAGTCCAAACGATCTGGATGGTCATAGGCTTCCCACCCATTTTAAGGACTAAAATAAAATTTAAAAATATATCTGTATATAAATGCTTATTATTCAGTCACCATGACACTTCTTGCCACTATGGTTGCCTGGAAGACCCTCAAATGGGCAGGGAACCATTTGTCAGGCCATCTAAGGAAGCAGGGTGCCAAAACAAGCTTTTGAAAGAGAGTGCCTGTTTATTAAGAGGTACCAATGGAGAGGGGCCCACATCTCCATTAGACTTGCTGTTCCTTCCTTTGGCATTGCAGAGGCCAGGCAGTTTGGGCTGTAGCGACTGAGCATTCTGCAGTAACTGCTGGGGTTCCCAAGAGTCCAGTTACGTGTGGTACAAGCATTCTTTGTAATGAAAACTACAGGCACATACTCCTGAAACACAGAATGTCAGTACCTTCCGGATATTGTAGAAATCGCGGTGCGGAACCCTCTTCTGAGCTGCCAGTTCTTTCATCTCATTGAGCAGGACGTGCATCTGGAACTTTGAACTCAGGTACTGCAAGCGTCTGTAGCAGAAGGATTTTCTGGCCAAACATTAGAAAGGAGGTTTAGTTCACCACACCAAAATCAGACCTTCACCTTCTCAACATAGTAGCCAGCACTGTAAATCATGAAAACCTAATTCGGGGTTTAAATCTATGCTTGCAGAAGGCTCAGGCTAGTGCATTTGTCATTTCTAATGTGGTCTGGGTGGGTGGGTAATTACCAAAGACATAAGGGAGCAAATTGTAAGGAATTCCATAACATCAGAATACATTGCCATGTGAGGTGAGGTCCATGTTCCAGCCAGCTCAACAATGATCAGACATATACTGCAGAGAAATTCCAAAGCAAGCCATGTTGATCCTTACTGTAAGTTCCTGGCATCTCGTAATCAGAAGTGTATACTTACTCTCAGTTTGACCATGAAGTTTGTACTTCAGGTTATCATGGCAAGTAGCAATCACCAGAACTACCCCTCGTGAATTTACTCAGGCCTTTTCATTGAAAAAAGGGTTTGATGCTAGTTTTCCATGATAGTTACCAGACAGGCTCACATCCACCCTGCTTGGATGTTAGCCTAAACACATTTAACTGAATTGTCATTTGGAAGAAGGAGCTTGCTCCTGCACGTAAAGATGAAAGAAATAAAAGAATGGCATCACTTACATTGGACCATTGATGATCAGAGCCATTAGCACATTCATGTCAGCAATGAACTCCTGCAGGTCAGGGTAAGGCAAGTCTAGTTCTGTGGTCCTTTAAAAAAAAAAAAGAGGCAAAAGATGAAACAAGATCACAGACACAAGTAAACAAGAATCAAGAGAGCTATGTTGTCCAGATGTGTGTTTTGCATAGTTCTATGTGTAAAATGAGAGGAAAAGCCAAGATCAGCCCTGCCAATAGCACAAAACGAAGATCTCTCTCTAAAATTATTAGTTAGAACTAAAGGGGAGGAAGCTACTAAACAAGGTGTTAGCTCAAGAGAAAATTGGCGAACAAGATGCTCAAAATATAGAATTTGGTAGTTATTACCACTGCTTCAAATTGAAATTGCCATAATATCCAGCTGCTCACTACACCAACTCTGTTAAATCAGGTTAACTGATATTTCCATACAGAGTAGAAAATTAAGATTCCTGAGAACATTCACTTTAAAAGAAATTGTAAGGCATTAGCAGTTACTATTATGGAAATGCATTGAGAAAAACACAGATTGTTTCTGGGACAGACTCCTGTTCTTTATTGTATGTGTGCTCTTTTATTATATGTATATTGTATTTTCCTCCCTTATCTATGCCCGTTTTCCTGCTATGTCAGTATTTAATCAAAAATCACAGCTAGGGTTCAAGCTTGAGGAACTTCCATTTCATGCAAAACTATCCCATGCAAGGTTCAAGGTTTTGTCTAGGAAGTCCTGTCTAGCTGTATTATTGTGTTCATTCCTTCACCTTGGTTGCTTGCAACAATTTAGCTAGGTGTCTGGAACTGGTTAAAAGCTATTTTGCTAGAATATGATGTTTTTTAAATTCAGTTTTATTGTATAGTACTCTGAATATGTAAAAAAGAAAAAGATATAACAATAAAGTTTTCATACATTTTACTGATTTGCTTAATCTAGTTTGAAAACAGCATGTGCTGTTGGTTCAAATAACGAACAGGCCCAATTAAAATGTGGATCTGCCTTTCTGTGCTCTCAAAGCTGTGTAGGCGGTTGTCAATCACACCTTCTTCCCCAGCTCCTGTAGTATAAATATTCCCTTCTATACTTTCCAAGGGCAAATGGATACAGGGAAGAAAGCACAAGATTCAGTGATTTCACAAGATGCTGCATAAGAATATGGAGCTAGACTTCCTAAAAGCTCAGGATATCTATAGATGAATTTTCACTTTCATTAGGCATATCATTTCTATAGATACTTGAGCTAAATGCATCCAAGATTCCCAGCTACAGAGAAAACAGGGAATAACTTGGCCATTTAGGTGTGGGCCATGGATAAAATCACCGTGAATGACCTCTGCTCACCTCCAAATTTTACCTGTCACTAAAGAACATATTTTCCTAGAAGCACTGTTAGCATACCAAGGCATCTGTACCCAGCAAGATATTGCCATGCCTTCTCCCATTTCTCCTTACTTGTCGGTGATGTCCTGCTTAGTGTACACATGGACTACTCCATTGACCATCTTCAGGCCAAAGCCAAGGTCTCCAGGCATTGATTCAGGGTCACACTTCTCATAAGGATGCTGGTTTGTAAACGGCGAGTGCCCTGAAGCATCTGCAACACAGGAAAGAGCAAATGAGAGGCTATACTTTTGCTTCATCACTACGGATATTTCACCTACTATTTTAAACAGAAAACCAAAATACAAAAAATAAAACTAATTCTTCTCAAGAACCATCTCTCTCCTTGAAGTTGATGGCACATTCCCTTATCCAGTTATTGTTTGTCTGCTTGCTTGCTTGCTTGCTTGCTTGCTTAGCAAGAGTTGGTGAGAAAGAAAAGCTAGCACAAGGGGCACAAAACAAGCAAGCTTGGTGTTGGTTGTTCGGCTACAGAACATGACGGATCAAGTCAATATGGGACGGCACAGTCTCACTGGGTCCCAGTCACACCATCTCTCCCAATCATCCAAGGCTGATTCCATGGGAGCACAGAAACCTTGTAGAATGCGCTCCCGCTGCTTGCGGAGAGGTCCGCGAAGCCTGGACGCGCTGAGCTCAGCGCACGCAGGCTTCAGCATGCAGGCAAGTCTCCGCAAGCAGCGGGAGCGCTCCCGCTGCTTGCAGAGAGGTCCGCGAAGCCTGGATGCGCTGAGCTCAGCGCGCGCAGGCTTCAGCATGCAGGCAACTCTCCGCACGCAGCGGGAGCGCTCCGGCTGCTTGCGGAGAGGTCCGCGAAGCTTGGACGTGCTGAGCTGAGCGCGCGCAGGCTTCAGCATGCAGGCAACTCTCCGCAAGCAGCGGGAGCGCTCCCGCTGCTTGCGGAGAGGTCCGCGAAGCCTGGACGCGCTGAGCTCAGCGCGCGCAGGCTTCAGCATGCAGGCAACTCTCCGCACGCAGCGGGAGCGCTCCGGCTGCTTGCGGAGAGGTCCGCGAAGCCTGGACGTGCTGAGCTGAGCGCGCGCAGGCTTCAGCATGCAGGCAACTCTCCGCACGCAGTGGGAGCGCTCCCGCTGCTTGCGGAGAGGTCCGCGAAGCCTGGACGCGCTGAGCTCAGCGCGCGCAGGCTTCAGCATGCAGGCAACTCTCCGCACGCAGTGGGAGCGCTCCCGCTGCTTGCGGAGAGGTCCGCGAAGCCTGGACGCGCTGAGCTCAGCGCGCGCAGGCTTCAGCATGCAGGCAACTCTCCGCAAGCAGTGGGAGCCCAGCGCTGGGCTCCCGCTGCTTGCGGAGAGGTGTGCGAAGCCTGGAGAGCGTGAGGGGTCGGTACGCACCGACCCTCTCGCTCTCCAGGCTTCAGCAAAAGCCTGCATTCGCCCATAGGACGCACACACATTTCCCCTTCATTTTTGGAGGGGGAAAGTGCGTCCTATAGGGCGAAAAATACAGTAGTTAATGGGTACAAAGTTCCATTTTTCTCATAATCTCTGTACGTGTTTTTTTTTGAGAGCAAGCAAGTTTCTAGTTCTCATGACATAAGATACATTTTGAAATGTGGGGGGCAAAGTCTACTGAACTCTCGGAATCCAGAGGGGTAGCTGCCACTGAACATTTGCTAGAACTTCAAAACCCCACATAAGCTCCTTGCCCCCAAAGACTAATAAAATCTGAATAAAATGAATCTGGGGCGGGAGGGAATTACCCAAACGTACCCAACTGGAACCCAACAGTTGCAGAATTCAGCATTTTTCAGCACACGGCCCTACACTCACCCCATAGCTATAGGATCTTTCCATGGGATCACTTAAAAATTATTTGTAGTTGAGCCCTTGGAGACATGAAGAGATGCCCCATTAGATCTTGCAGCTACCCAGTCTTGCCCACCCCAAAGCTGGAGGCAATGTACGACTTGCGCTCACAGCTCTCCTTGGGTGTGGGAGAGGAGGGGAGCTGCCTCTGGACCATGCCCTGACTTCCACTACCTGCTGGCCTTTCAAGGGCATCATCAATACCATGACCACCTTGTAAGTAGCCAGGGACCAATCTAAACCTTCTCCATGTTCCTCTTCCTGTCTGCCACTTTAGGCACCTCCCTTACTGGAATGACTTTGCTGAAAGGAAGGCCCTCTCACACACAGGCCCCAGATTCAGACCTCACCTCCAGCCCCAGGGGTCTCGGGGATCTCCTCATACAGCCTGGGGGCCAAAGGCCTTTCTGAAAGGTCTTGTAGGAAGCGGGCTGTGGTCTTGCAGAAGCTTTGCAAAGAATGCCCCATATACTTCTCCCGAATGAACAAGGCCTTCACCACACTCTTGGCAGCATCCAGCAGGTCTGTGAAAGGCACCTGGGGGGAGGGGGGAGCCAAAGAAAAACAGTTAGCTGAACTGGGAACAGCACTTATCAAGGAATCATGATGGGCAGGCTAGGAAACAGATGGCGTGAACCGCTAGACAAAAATACATAACATATCAATAATAACAATGTCTCCAATAAGGCAAATCTATCAAGTGCAAATTTCAAATAACCACAAAATGATCATTGATCCATTCAAACTATATAAAGAAGGTCAGAAAATCAAAACAACAGCCAGAAGGAAGTCTTCAGAGATTCAGTGCATAAAATGGAAAAACACAGGGACTGAGTTAGGTAACTAACTGCTTTGCAAGATATCGACCAAAAGCCAGTTTGCATGCAGAACTTCAGTATCCATAAATAAACACAAAGAAAGTGCAATACAGGTGCTGCAGCTTCTTCGTGCTAAATCAAATCACTGCAGAGGTTCCTAACAGACAGTTCAGTTAATCATAGTTTAGTGCCATTCAAACCATAAACTGGGGTTACTGTTGACTATGGTTTGTAGTTGGCTTGTTTCAAACAAACCATGATTAACGTTATCCACAGCGAACGCTGAAACATGAGATTAAGCAAAAACAGAAGTAAAAGCGTCTGAATTCCAGAAGGAGGGGGAAAGGGGGAGTGTGTGAGCCAGAAGCTCACATAGGCTCATTCACAGCACACTAAGCTGAAGTTTAGCCAAGTATCCAAATGGAACCACTGGGTGAAGTTAGGCGAGCTCCTCTTCTTAGCCCCAGACTCCCATCTGCAATTTGGGGGGGTATAACACTTACAACATGGGTGTTTAAAAACATCAAAGTTAGAAAATTATTTTAATACTTGAAATAAATTAATAATAAACAATTTCCCACAATGGCTGTGCCCAAAGTGACTCACAGCAAACATTCAAAACATCAAACTACAAAGCACCAAAAATACAAACATACAAAATACAGAGCCTGTCAGTAAATTCTATTTGCCCAGCTGGTTTATTAGATGGGTTGCATATTTTTACCAACAGCTGCTCTCCAGGGGCTCAGGCAGACAGAGGCCTTTCACATTCCCTGCTACCTGATCCTTTAAAGTGGAGATGCCAGGGATTGAACCTGGGACCTTCTGCATGCAAAGCACAATGTGCTCTAGCACTGAGCTAAGGCCCTTCCAGGGCTAAACCGGAGCCATTTCCTGCCTGGAGGCTATCTGATTGCTGTCAGAAAGCAGCATGTTGTAGAGCAGTGGTTCCCAACCCGCCTGCCCCCCCCTAAACATTGAGGAACACATTGCCAGACCACGGAATGATTTCCCTGTCTGCTGCAGCAGTTGTAAAGCACTGTGCTGGATGCTGCATGATTTTTAATTGCATTTTTTTACAAACATAGCATGGATCACTCGCATGAAGCTTGTAGACCACCGCCTGTGGCAGAGCCTTTGCAGGAGATTGTGGGTGGGCGTGCGTGGTTGGGTGCAAATGGATGGCTAGTTTCTGAATTTGTCAGCCTTACCCCGCACGTCTCTTCTCCGGAGATGGTGACCCTCTGGAACTCCCTTTCCAGAAGCACATCCCGTTCTTTGGGATACTGGTCCACCAGGTCCTCTCCCTGCTCCTTAAACAATCTGGGGGGAGAGGAAAGAAAGGGAAGAGTTGAGGGAGCAACAGTAAATGACAGATTTGGCTCTGCCGGTATCCTGCCGTGCTCACTGGAGTCCCCTTTTCGAAAGAGGTCCTTCAAGACATCAAAGCAGGACGTACCACACACAAGACACGTTCAAGACAGGGACAACCTCCCGCCAACCACAGGGAGAGAAGCCCTGAACTACGGAAAGGGGTGGAGACAGTCATGGACACCTGACAGCTTCAGAACCTTGGACAGTCAAACAGGTTGCCCACGTAGCAGGAAGGTGGTTCCTGCTCCTCAGGGGAGGGCTCTTTCATTTTGCACAGCTTCACCAGATGACCAATTGCCCCTTTCTGCACTGCATGAAGTCAATCATCTGGCAGAACCAGAAGCAGAGCAAGGGCCTGAAGAAGCTGGTCTCCAAGGGACCCCCTGACAAGGACCTTGCTGGGCTTACTAGGGACCTGAGCTGCTCAGCCAGCACCATGAAAAGAGGGGAGGTGGGGGAAGAAATATAAAACACAGAGACAAGAGGCTGGCTCCACCCACTGCGCCTGCCATGAAAAGAATCATCACCGTTATAATAAAAAGACAGGAGGGAAATGGAGCTCAGAGCAAAGGAACAAGGGAAAGTGACCAGCAGTGGAAAGGGAGGAATCCCCCGCTCAGCTGTGTCAAGAGCCATGGTGGGCTCGGGACCAAAGGCGCTTCTGCCTACCCTAGTTGCCATGGGGCTTCCCAGCTTCTCAGTCTGAACAGCATCTACTTCTCAGAAGGGATTGCCAAACTTGACACATGCACCAAAACAGTGGCTAGCTTTGGCCTTTCCTCCGCAAGGATTTCTCCATTCTAAAACACCGAACTTTCATTCCCCTCCAGGAGGCGAGGGGAGATTCACTTCATCCATTTACACCAGGCAAGTCTAACAGGTAGATCGTGGTCTACCGGTAGATCACTGGATGCCTGTGGTAGATCACTGGTAGATCATTGGCTCCCCCCAAAGAAGCTCAACAGGGCTTTCCTCCCTAAAAAAGCCCAATAACTTTGACCTGAACCCCCCAAATTGGGGTAGATCACTGCCAGCTTTTAACTCTGTGAGTAGATCGCAGTCTCTTGGGAGTTGGCCACCCCTGATTTACACCATCTTTCCACTCTGAAGTCCAGTTCCAAGCCTGCTTCCAGGCTGTCTGGCATGTCTCTCAGTCACTGTTGGTAAGATCAGAGCCCTACTTGGACATTTGGGGCAAAATAATGTGGACTTAAGATGGAGAGGCGAGGGATACAAATGCAAGCCCCACCCCCCACCCCAACTTCCTTGTGCCTCCTGGTCCCACTTCGGACTATCCCATGTTGTACAAGGTCTGATGGGGGATTTCTAAGCATGTTCCACATAGAATCCCCCCACTTTAGAGCTTTGCACTGATTGTAGGAAGGTCTGAACAGGAGCTGGCATGCACTGGGATTTTGAGGGAAGGTGCAAGGGTTGTGTATGCATGCCTCTGCCTCCTCCCCATTTTAAGCCTGCACAAGGCAGTTCAAAATGCCTGCACATGGCTTAGTTTGACTTAGCAGTACCTGCACCTAATTAATTGACCACACACCCAGCGGTGTGATTGAGAGTGGGAATGTGCCACATGCAGGTGGATGGAACTCTTGCAAGAGTGTCACTTCCTTTGTGCCTGCCAAGGTGGGGAGAGGATGAGGATGCAGCCTGCAGGGTGCTCCCGCTCCCACCCCTGAGTCAAGGGCAGAGAGAATTAATGCCAGGCACTCACTGTAAGTCAGCAGCACTGTCAATTTTCAGGAAGTCCTGTTTGGCTCTGAGTAAAATGTCAGGTTCTAGTCTGAGGATAAATGGGAAGTGGAGGCCAAGGCCAAGACAGGAACAAACAGAGAGACAGAAAGAGAGAGAGGGGAAGAGAGAGAGAGAGAGAGAGAGAGAGAGAGAGAGAGAGAACAAAGAGAGAGATGAGGAAATGTGGAGGAAGAAAAGGAGAAGAGAAGGAGAAGAAAAAAGAAAACACTAGCATTAATACAGAAACCAACACCAGAAATGGCAGACACTGTACAGCAATATTCACCAGCTATGGGAGACAGAAGAGAATGGATTCAAAAGGCCTAGGACAGACATCAAAACCAGACCATGGTTTGGCCATCAGGAAAGTGCTGCTGATTTGAATAGTAAGTCCCTCCTCATCCATGGCAACCAGTTTGATCAGGCAAACCACCCCCACCTGAACCAGAAAGTATAGCTCAATGTGAGTTTCTGGTTCTGGTGCGGAGGCAAACTATGGCCAGTGGTAACCATAATTTGATCAATCCAGACATTATGCCAAAGCATGGTTACCACAACCCAGGAAGCGGAGAAGGAAAGCAGTGTGTGCATGGAGAAGAGGGAGCAAATGCTCCTACAGCACACTTCCAATAGCCTAGGCATGGTTAGGTCACAACATCTGTACTGGGCCATATTTGTCCTCTCTCCAGTCCTGGTTTCTAAACGAATCTAGCCACCTCTGGGCAGATAGAGCTGGAAGAAATCCAGAGGCCTTTATTTGCCTGCTGGTAACGTAGATAACCACAAAGCAATCCCACCAGTGAAAAGCCTCTGGGCACCCAAGACAGACCATAAGCAGGACGAGCGTTGTGTAAAACTGCCAGGTACAAACGCACACACATACAGTTATGTATATGCACACACACACAGCCATGTCAATGGCAGGCATCCTAGCCAACGTCCGATGTGCACCTCTTTGGACCACCTATGTCTTCTCCATCAAGCCTGTTCCCCGAGTTACAGCAATCTATTCTAGGTTGCAACTAAGGGTTCCCCATTTGGCTTCTTGCCACCTTTCTCAGTTCTCAACTGCTCATATTCATCCAGTTGTCTTTGTTCATGAACTTCTCTGAAATGCACCTTCCTACTCTTGGAAATACCAAACCAAGGAGCCAGACGAAGACCAAGAAGCATCACAGCAACTTACTTCACATCCTGGCTGATTTGCCGCTCCAGCCGTTGGCGCCTCTCCTCCAGCTGTTCAATGGGGCTGTCTTCTGGGAATTCATAGGGGGCACTGCGCATATCACTCTCAGCCAACGAACGGCAGAACAGCTCCTGTGGGCACAGCAGCACAACAGTGCAGTCGACTGGGGCAGGGAGGAGCAGTTAAGCCTCCCACATAACAAACCTCTGACAAGCAATGCGGACACCAGCATGGACAGTCCACTAAGAGGGACTCCCTGGAGTCTGTCTGCTGAGATGGGAATACTCTGCCAGCATCCATGAAAGTATTGTGGGTGGGATCCATGCCACAATGCCTGCTTTTTCAGGGCAGGAATTCACAATAGGGTCACCAACGCAGTGACTTACAATTGCCTGAGTGATGACTGTTAGATGAACTTCACTGCTGCTGGTTTCCCATTGCCCAGGTCATCAAAAGGTGCATTAATGATTAATATATCTCAAGGTCCCAGTCTCCCCTGCTGCCTTCTCCAGCATGTTTCTGACACATGGATGTGTCAACATCAGGAAACGACAGCTGCTGAGCCATCAAGCAGCCCTAATTTCTTCCTACAAAGGTCAGGTGGAAGCTAGAGCAGGCAGATTCAAACACTTCCATACCACCACCAGTGCTCACATCCAGTATCTCTCTGCTTAGGACCATGCCTCACATTTAAGTTGTAAGATATACACTTTACAGACCTGTACTGTGAATCCACTAAAGCCATAACATCCAAAGTGTATATTCAAGCCTGTGAGGTGGGGTTAATCTACATCACACCACAATGCTTTTCTACAGTGTGCATACGACATTTATGTACTTCAGGTACTGTGATTTTAATAAGTCTGTACCATGGACCCATTAAAATCAGCACGTGACGTGAGCTCCACCAACATGCTCTATGACACTTCTATCAGTCTGGGACCAGAAAGAGTGAAGGCAGACCTAACATCTTCAGTGTGGCAAAGGTAGATTGAAATGACATTTCCTGCCTTGAAAATGAATGCACATTTTAATGTCCTAGACCTGGGGTTAGATACCCATGGTCTGGCCAGATTTCCTACAGCCCTCTAGGTGCCCTGCCAACCATCGGCTGTTCAGCAGAAATGGAAAGAGGATGTGTAACCGTGGCTCCTTCCTCTGCAAGGTCACAGCAAACTTGTATTCTTTGCAGAAATGCAAAAAGTAGTCCACACATTTTGCAATTGCTGGATCTCAATTTTGGGGAAGGACTTGCAATTCAGCTGTGAATTGAACATATTTGCATTATCACACTAGAATTACTGAGCCTTTTGGATAGGCAGTACAAATACAGTGGTACCTCGGGTTAAGAACTTAATTCGTTCTGGAGGTCCGTTCTTAACCTGAAACTGTTCTTAACCTGAGGTACCACTTTAGCTAATAGGGCCTCCCGCTGCCGCCACACGATTTTTGTTCTCATCCTGAAGTAAAGTTCTTAACCCGAGGTACTATTTCTGGGTTATCAGAGTCTGTAACCTGAAGTGTCTGTAACCTGAGGTACCACTGTATAGGAAGTTCAATGTATTTTTTTAAAAAAAAGTCTATGAAGGAAATGGAAAGTATAACTTGAAGGGAGCTAGTAATAATTAAAAATATGCCTCTGCTTCCATGATATGCATGGTGTTATGAGAGAGAAAGAGAAATTGTGTGTGCATCAAGGGTTTATGATTTTGTGTGGATCTGGCCCCACCTGGTTCAGGTATATGGCTCCACAGCTTTTCTACTAGGGCAATGTGACCCTCAGCCCCCCCCCAGAAAGTCCCCCCACCCACCCATGTTCAAGAGCAAGGTATGAAGGAAGGAGACAGACAGCTCCCATGAATCACGAAAAAAGGACAAGATCTTGCTATGGACATTTCCATACTGCAACTAAAGAGCCCTGAAGCACAAGCAGCAAGAAAGCGAGCTGCGCTACAAAGAGACATGAGCTGGGAAGTGCTGAGTCAGGCTTGCTCTGCAAGGATTTCCCCCAATAAATCAGACAAGCAATTCAATTACTTAGCCTGCCAGTAGGTCGATCAAAATGCATTTTCAATTAATTCACTCGGGTACCCGATTCTTGAAAGCTTGCCTGTGGTAAGTTCACTCCTTAGATAGCTAAAGGCAAAAAGCCAAATTTCTGTGCCAGCAATTACAATGGAAACATCTGTTGCATAGGTTAAAGGGTATCAGCATCAGAATTACTGGCGAGGCAATGACCACTTGCCGGTGACCCGCAAATTCCCCAGTTGAAATTATGGACCTTTTCAGTCTTTCCAACTGGGAGAGAATGCACCCAAGAGCCCATCCAGACAAAAAGTCTGGCCAAAGTACTCCTGTAATCGCTCTCCCTGACAATGGCTCAGTTCACACTCCAGCAAGAGATTGCTCACCTATTACTGAGGTTGAAAAAATTGTTCTGATTGCCTGAAACAGGAAGCCTGGAACTGGATCACACAATAAGGGGAACATAACAAGAGCTTCTCTTTTTTCTTGCTCCTCCTTTCTCTTGTAATGCTGCGATTAGCAGGACAGTTCATCACTCACAGAGATTCCAGCTACTACAGAAACCATTAAGAGCAAATGGGACAGACTTTGCCAGGCTTTGAGGCTGAGTTTAGGCTAATGCACATTTGCTGTGAGCATGCCACATCTGGACTTGGAAGTAGCAGAGTCCCAGAACTGCACAAGATTTGCCTGCCTTAGAATCTGGCATCCCCAACCAGTGGACGAAAACAGCCAGTGTGGGCTGCAAGCAGTGCTAGGTCCACCTTTCCTTTACGCCACAATTAAAATTGGGAGACGGTGGAATCATTATGGCAGTGGAGACCACGTAACAACACTTTATGCCTCAACTGCAGGGTGGCACTAACTGGCACAATGTGGCAACCTGGCCCTCTGGGAAGCACCCCAACAAAACCTCACTACAAGCACACTCAGTGAGAAATAACTCCCAAACATCAGGTTGGATACAGAGGTGATCCTAGGAAAGCAAAACTGTACTTCAGCCAAGGTGTCAAACCAGCAGAAGCTTCCACAAACAGAAGGGGAGGGTGATTTATTCCCACAGCCCCTCCACCTCCCATACACCCACCACCACCAAGCACAATTCCCAGGGGCACAGGAGATTACAAGAGGAACTGGCAAAGATCACCTCCCTCTCAGCTTCCATTTGCAGGAGTTGAAAGCAACCCACTCATTACCTCCAACAGTGAAAGGCTGCGTGGATTATCCCCCCCCCCAATCTTTGCAAATGCAAGAGGAATCGCATGCATTTGTCAGAGTTCAGGGTTACAAGCTTGTTTCATAAAAAAGCAATCAAAGGAAAAGAGGAACTCGGGGCCAGTAGGTATAACTCTGAGGTGGTGTCCTCAGAGGCCTGGTTCCAAGGTTATAAAAGAGGAAAGCAACAGCAATGAAGAAGTAACATTACCTCGGCTATCTCTTTGTACTTGCCATCCATGGAGGTGCGCAGGTCAACAGGAAAATGCTTCAGGCAGTGGGGAGGCCCCGGGAGGGAGCGCGCAGGCTGCAACTGGCGGGACCGTGGCCCTCCGTGGATCTCTGTGGAAAATATGAGACAGCAGTCAGGGAGATGAGAGAAAGCCACGGCCCTGATCAGAACAATTCAAGGGAAGAGGAGAAATTTAATCAAACACAGCCTCTATCAGTTCTCTCCAACCCGGTGCCCTCTAGATGTTCTGGACTATGATTTCCATCAGTCCCAGTCGGCAGCGGCTGGTAATTTTGCCTGGATCAGAACTGAGAACTGCCGTGGGACAGTCCTGCTTTCCAAGAAACATCTGCAAAAGGTTTCTGCAGATTAGCAGACACCCCACCACCATCATTTCGTTTGAGAAACTGCTAAAACACTTGGCTTTACCATCACTCCCTTCTCACTCCACATCATCCATTTGAAGGAAGCAGGTTGTGGCTGCTGGTACTGTAATTAACAAACAAACAACTTTATTACCCTGCCTTCACACTAAGGTCCCAGGGGTGGGCTGCATTGATTAAAATTACATCAGAAGTTTTAAAAACTTACAATAAAAAATGCAACCACACACACAAATAGAGTGGGTCCTGAAAATATACATCTCAGGTGTCAAGGCCAGGGAAAAGGGGTGATAAGATGATGACACTATAAAAGGTAAAGGACCCCTGGGTGGTCAAGTCCAGTCAAAGGCGAATCTGGGGTTGTGGCGCTCATCTCGCTTTCAGGCCGAGGGAGCCGGCGTTTGTCCACAGACAGCTTTCCAGGTCATGTGGCCAGCATGACTAAACCATTTCTGGCGCAATGTAACACCGTGATGGAAGCCAGAGTGCACGGAAATGCTGTTTACCTTCCCGCCGCAGCGGTACCTATTTATCTACTTGCACTGGCGTGCTTTTGAACTGCTAGGCAGGAGCTGGGACAGAACAACGGGAGCTTACCCCGTCGCAGGGATTTGAACCGGCAACCTTCCAATCGGCAAGCCCAAGAGGCTCAGTGGTTTAAACCACAGTGCCACCCACGTCATATATAAGCCAATATAATGTACTAATTGTACTCTTTCCATCCTTTTGCTTCAGGAAGTGGCTCAGGAATGTATTCAAGCTAAGATGTTAGAGCAATTGGTACACACAGAAATGGCAAACACATACTACCTCTGCTGAACCTCACCATCCTTCAAAGGAAAATTAAACTGCCAAGTTCACTTTCTGGCAATCCTTCCCAAAAGCCTTTTTCACATCTGTGCACACTGAGAAGTATGAAGCTGCTAGAACTCAGACTGGCCCAGGGCATCAACAGAGCAAAGATGCTACTGAAAATTGACATTGGAATCGGAACTAGTCTTGTGGCACCTTAAAGACAGATGTGTTTATCATGGTGTGACCTTCCCTGGATTAGTCACCAGATGCAACAAAAGAAAAATAACAGAAACGGAGCAACTCTGATTGCCGCTCGTAACCCATCCCTTACCATGTCCAATGAATGGCAGCTATTGACAAAAAGCAGGAAATCCTCTGTGACATATGCCCAATTTTATGCTGTTTTCTGGTCTCTGTTAACATAGCCCAGGTTCATCAGTTCCTGAGCTGTGTTTACCAGTTCCAAGAAGAGCCCACCATTTAAAATAAAAGGAAGTGGCAGAAGCACTATTTGATCCATTGGTTCACCATCCACCCCCAAGGGTTGCTCGAAGCCCACACTCAAATTACCAGCTGTCAGTCTGTGTCACAGGGCCCCAGACCTTGCAAATGCCCAAGAACTATCTTATGATCCACCCGCCTCTGTTTGCCATTTTCAGCTGCTCTGCTACCAGGGACAAGGGTTGGGTCTGGAATCCACCGTTATATTGGCATTATGAGAAGAGTTCCCAGGCATCTCCTTCCAGGCCTGGCCATTCATTTCCTGAATATGCAGTCACATATTAATTTTGGCAGATTACATAATATGCACAATTGTTGCTTTATTCAAGCTCACAACAGCCATGCAAAATAAGCCACTCCTACTCCCATTGAACAGATGCAGGATTGAAGGCGAGACTTCCTCAAGGGCAGCGACTGTATGTTCCTGGCCCAGCAGGGATTTAAAGTCGGACTCTGGATAGGCAACCAGCATATGCTATTCAGCTGGACCCCACCATGTCTCAAATGTCGGTTCTCAAAGTGATCCAGTCACCTCAAAATACTGGAAATGCCACTGAGCTGAGGATCAGATCTCCTTTCAAATGGGAAAGAATCCCTTATCAACTGGCATCACCTTTTATTGGGCTTTCTCAATGCCATTCTTCCTAGCATTTGTGACAACCACAAAGCATTTGTGACAACCACAAACCACGGTGCAGATGGAGGACTCCAGCCCGGAGATGAAAATACTTACTGCCATACTTAATAAGGAATTTCTGGCAGGGCCAGGAACTGACTATGCTAGCTAAAAATGAACAGATGCTATAGCTTTTCTTGAAGAACAAGGATGCAGAAACTGCGGCCCTGAGGATGTTGTTGGACTACAGCTCTCACCACCCCTCACCAATGGGCATGCTGGCTATGGCTGATGAGAGCTGGAGTCCATGGAGGACCACACAGTCCCCATCCCTGTTGTAAAAAGAGAAGGCTCCTCACCATCACGCCCAGTTAAAAGGATCCCATTTCTCACCAGCTTCAAGACTCTTAGTGTCCACTTTGAGGTTGAGAAGCACTAAAAACAAAAACAGGTATCCCATCCCTTCTAAAAGTTTAAACTAGTTGGTAAGGCTTGCCCTACCACTTGTCTGATGTAGAAATAATAATCAGCTTCCAGCATGGAGACGAGTACCTTAAGTTGGCTTCCAGAGAGACTATTAAGGGGAATAACACATCCTTTGTTCTGTTAAAAGGAACCTGGCAGAGACACATTCTCTCTTGTTTGCGCCTGCAGAGGCTGAAGGCAAACACCATGGACCGATCAGCCAGACCCTACGCTGAGCCTCACAGGAGAAACTGCTCAAAGTCCATTTTATAGGGGTGACTGGCTTTCAGCTCTCAGGCCTTAACGTTCTAATGAGAGCAAATGCTTGCAGACCAGACCTTTCCTCCCTGCCGCCGCCGCCGCAAGAACACAACCACTCCTAGCTCCCCATGCAGAGCACAAGGGGAACAGATAGGGAAATCAATACAAACAACCCAACCACAGCACTTATGCTGACTGTTGGCCAAGATCTACCATGGAGTGGCCTCTCTGAAGCCACACAGGAATCCAGGGGTGACCCAACTTCCTACCTCTGCAGACTAAGGGGCAAAGCAAGTTGTGAAATAATACAGAGTCTTGGGCAATTACTTTGTTCCCTTCTGCTAGAATCGACATGTCTTGACCTCAAAATTCCTAAAAATAAAGCAAGGTAAACAAAATAGACTCCTCAAGGGAAAGGGAGCAAAAGAATGTAGTTACTTGAGACATTTTAAAAGCAGATCAGAGTCTCAACTGCTGTGTGCTCAGTATGTGTTGTAGAATACACTAAATTGGTCCATTACATATCTTGTTGTTTAGTTCTAACTTGTGACAAGGTTGCTCATAGATCTGTTTTTAATGTCTCCCAAGGATGCTTCACACACTACAGAAAATATGGGTTCTCTTTGCTCCTCTGCATGTCTCTGTGGTGCCTTTAAACCATAAGGTCTCCAAGTCCATGCCACCAATTTTTCACACATGTCTGCACCCTCCACACATTATAGTAGTCACCATGTGGACATAGTCAACACACAAGAGCTCATTTCCCCCCGTAATAACCCAATGTAGGTGCCAAACTAGCAATCTTCTAACTCATGTGAATTATTTCCTTTCCGTGGCTCATGTAGACATCTTGACTGGCACTAGCCATGGTTTGCAAACAAGCTTCCATCTCTGTTTGTGCTGCTGCAGATGTTAATGCTTCTGTGCCAGAGTCAAATCTAACCAGGTGAGGGAAGTTGATTTTTGAGAGCTAAAGTAAGGAAGGTGATGATGGGCAAGGAAGGAGATGCAAACCTGCAGCACAGCTTTGATCACCTAACCATGGTTACATTTTCATTGGGTCGATTTGCAAGGCAGCTCTAAGCAAGACGTTTCACCTACTAAGTAGAGAATAATAAGCAATAGACTGGGGTGGGGGGCAAGGGAGGTTCAAAGGTACAAAGGAACATGACACCTCTAGCGGAACTGGACTATCACCAACAGCTACTGGCAATTACATAAACTGACACTCTTGCATGCTGTCAATAGGCAGGAAATCTACATAACTTGTGTGGTCAACTATGTCACAAGTAAACACTACATGGCTTTGTCAGAACCTTTTCTATTTAAAAGTTTCAGGCATTCATAGCCACACAAAAGGATTTGGCTCAGGAGCCAAAAGGATCCATTTCTAGGTACCGTTTTCCAAGCCATACTGCTCTAAGTGACTTTGCTGAATTAGGACTGGGGAGACCCAGGCTCAGATCCCATTTCAACCGTCATGAAGTTCCGAGTGACCCGGGGCTAGTTATTCTCTCTCAGCCAGATTGAAGTCACAGGGTTGTTGTGTGGATAATGAGGTGGGGGGGGGACCCATGTATGCCACCCTGAACTTTTGGATGAACAGGATAAAAGTGTCCAAATTAATCAATCAATCCACAGTCCCTGCAAACATTTTTTATCACTGTAATGCCTCATGTCCTTACTTCTTTTCCACTCTCTCTGTCATGCGATACATCACATTCCATTCTTTGAAGAGGATATCATAAGTACACACATTCATGAAAATGGCTCACTTGCACAGCCCACACTAAATCACAGGATCTGGCATTCCCTCGGTTGAATCGTACAAGTCCTGTCTATAATTACTGACATCACCCACTACGCAAGGAATTCCATTTGTCTTCCCATCCAAACCAGCTATTGTCTATCTAGAGTCACTTTTCAACCCAACACAGCTGGCCTGCAAGTACTGATTTCCTTTTCTTGTCAAGAGACAGAATATCTTCTTCTAAATTGTATTTAATATCAGCAGAGTCTTCAAGTAGGTTTGTTACTGTCCATGAAAAAGTTGAAATTACTTTAGGCGAAGGGTGAAAGGCCAACAAGT